CCCCCCCCCCCCCCAGTGATATAGCTAGAAAGGCTCTGTTAAGTGCATGGTTAATTAATTTTAATAGGAACTCGAATATTATCCCAACAACACACTTATGTACTAAGCAACCAAATTTTAAACATCGCGCATGCAAAGGCAACTCCAATTAAGGTTGTATTTTCGGAAATTCAAGCGACGTAGACAATTTGTTTATTTAGACAATTTATGAGTTCTAGAAGGGACTGCACGTTTCATATCTTCGGTTCAGTGAATGCAATTGCCAATGTGGATGAAAATATCACCGTTCGATTCAGTGAAAATTCTTAAAGATAGTTTTAGTCGATTTCAACATTATAGCGATTTATAGCCTTTGAAAGTCAAGCAAGATTGTGTATTATCTAATATTTACTACTAATATATATGAAAAAAATTCTCAATTCGGATTGGCTAATTAGGCCTAAAGCCTGGTTCACACGATGAAATAAGCATGAGCATAAGGCGTAAAAAAATACCTGTGGTTCCGGTTTCATATCGTGAAAAAATTAGGTCGGAAATAATTTTTTTTTTGAACATTTTTTTCATGGTTTTGGCGGTTTTTTTGCTGGTCGATTTTCAGTAGAGTCCTGACATCAATATTAACTAGAGATGCGTATTTCCTATGCACGAATGTAGGCAATTTGGTTCAATAATTAGTGTGACAACAGACGCCATTTTGGCACGCTGTATGAGCAGCCCGCAACCACCTGGAGAAAATAGGGTCGCACGGTCAATCGCGTTGCAAAAATAATAGGGTCGGCAGAAAAAAATAGGGTCGGTCGGGAACCGGAACTACAGGTATATTTTTTTTACGCCTAAGCATAAGCAAGCGGAACCTTTGATGTGCATAAGCATAAACATAAGAACAAGTGTTGCGTTCTTCTTATGCTTACATCAAAGGTTCCGCTGCTTGTGCTTATGCTTATTTCATCGTATGAAGCAGGCTTAGCAGTAATGCAATTCTTTATACAGTGCCAAAAATGTAAATACAATGCCAAAAATGAAATACAGTACAAAAAAAGATTGAAACACAGTGCAAATATCTTAATTTTTATTTTTCAAATTTCTTAAAGTTTTAAATTTCGAAACGTGCATAATTTTTTCATGTACATTTTTAATAAGTAACAGTATGGTTTCTCGTGCAATTTGAAAAACACTGATACATTCGTGAGTTTTTCAAAGACTTCAAATTGACATCTCGTTACTTCAAGTGAAAATACTTCAAGAACTATGTAAGATATGAAAAATCGGTAAAAGAAGTTAAGAATATATTGCCATTTCCCTTTAATACTTCGAGAACAATTGTAATTTCCTATTAATATCATTTTTATATAGATAAGCAATCATATAGATAAGAAACACTGTATTTTACGCGCTACCGCGCCTCTGCATGTGGTCAATTTTGAAAGCACTTTCTGACATTAATTTTCAATTCATATACCTGTAAAACTGTGAATAATCTTTATTTCTTATTTTTCTTTGTTATAAAAGCATAAATAGGAGCTCCTTGTAAAATAAGAGCTCAAAAAATGTACATTTTTATATTGATTATTTTCAAGTCGACATTTTGTGTTTAATGATCGACGCGGGCTCGTATCCGTGTCGATTATAATCTTTAATCGGGACACCCGTGCGATATTATATACTCTTTGCGTTATTATATACAATATTCAAAACACTGCAGAAATATATAGATACTCTTTATAACAGAACTTGTCGAACTAAAAAGTTATTTTCAGTTTTACATGTAATACTAAATCTAGCCCTTTCATGCAGTTAAATTGTGTCTAACATGATTGTTCTCCAAAGAGAGCCATGAGTATAAGGCCCATCCCAGATTGAACATTTCACTGTTCGAGAGGAAACCTGCTGCGATGCTTTGTAGTTTCAAACTGGAAACACTTTCGTACAGGCGGCAAAAGTATAGCAGTATATATGTATATATATATATAAAATAAAATTTATAATTAATGATTATTGGCTTTATGCTTGCTTTTGTTTTTGCATATGTCTATAAATTTGAATTTGCATCTGTATAATCATTGTGCACCACGACCTTAAACCCAATGTTGACCCACAGTGGCTCGAATACTTTAATAAGGTTATCTGACTTCGATTCGTGTTAAAGCTATTTCAAATATCCTGTGCCAACTTTGTTTTAATAATGTGTGGAAAAAATTTGTAATTATGTAGTTTTGACTGGTGCGTATAAATTCTTCTTCTTCTTCTTCCTCTACTTGTGAAGTTGGTATCCTAATTAAAAATTATGTCCATTCATTCATTGTTTCATTGCGACTGTTTTGTTAACCTTTGCTGCTTTGCCCCATTTCTTTGTACCGACCATTGATGTCGTTCGTGATTGTTCACTTCCTTTTCTTTGTATGAGCCTGGCATCACCATAATTTTGGAGCCGTGAAGGGCCACTTGATAACGAGCTTGATAACGTCCTTGATGAGCTCGTGCTCGAAATAACAGCGCTATTTGATTAGCGGGTTGCTCAGAATTTCTTCGCCTTGGGATAGAAAATGCATTTCTAAGCTAAACATGCAGTACATCTGCATTTTCAAATCCGCATTTCCATTCCATTTGAATTTACACAATTGACAGAGTTTGGCATTAAATGTAAATTGTTAATTACGGCAGAAACAATGCTTTGAAGATTCATATTTTCTCGACCACATCGTGTCATAATAGTATAAACTATACACATCATCACTTTAAACATTGGTATTGCAAAGAAACATATTAATACCAACATTCTTGAGATTCAAAAGATGAAACAGCAAGAATTTCTTTCATTTTGCTAATTCTGCTTTATCCTGCTTTGTATTTAAATCAGCCAAGATAAGTGTTTTGACTTACAAGGGGTATATTTGCTAATTGCTCTACAATATTTCAAACAATTATCAAATAAAAATATTGTATTGTTGTATAATTGTATTGTAGAATATTTTACATTTTCTATCAAACTTGACACAAGTGGACTTGAAGAACGAAGTAGAATTATTAATGAGATATTTTGAGAAAATATTGATGTTTATAATTCATTGATATAGCTAACTGTAATATGGTCGCATAGTTTTTTTAATCTTTGGTACGACACAGAACGGTTTCCCTGTTAAAACGTGATTATATTTATGAGACGTTTCGCTGAATGTTTAAATGTCTATACAATATGGGGAATTGAAATTATTACTCATGTTTTTATATACGTCGTCATTGATGAACGATGGTTGTTTAATTAAAATACCACATTTTTTGCAAAGCTTTTGATCTGTTTCTACGCAGTCTCGAAAACTTGCAAAATAAATAAACGTGATGCTTTCAACACGACGTGACACGCTTCGAAGCTACTACAATTATGTCATGCTCTATATTATTTTATATAATACCTTATTGAATTCTGATCGTTTAATTGGCTGTTTACGGTCACGTGATATTGAATAGAAAATTCCATTTCCCAAGAGTGCAACGGAATACGTTCCATTGCACTCTCTGCGAGTGCAATGGAATAAAACGTATAGTACAATTGCACTCTTTGTGTTTTCGATAAATCGCATCCTTCAAAATGCTTCTCATACGAATAAATTGGTCTATTTTGGTATTATATAAAACAAATAATGAATGTTTTTCGTGCAATGGTAAGAATTTTTTCATTGGGTGAAAGATGGAATGTTTCATTCAAATCGGCTGTCGCCTCGTTGAATAAGATGGATGTTCCATTCAACTCGACTGTCGCCTCGTTGAATGAAACATTCCATCTTTCACCTCATGAAGATATTCTTACAATTGCACTCATAAACATTCATTATTTGTATAATGTAGGCTAATTGCTTTCTTCGGTACCCGGACATTTTGCCGAAAGACATTTTGCCGAACGGACATTTTGCCGACGGACGTTTTGCCGAACGGACATTTTGCCGAACGGACATTTTGCCGAACTGACATTTTGCCGAACGGGCAGTTTGCCGAAAGGACAACTTGCCGGAAATAGAGATGTTAGTTATTTCATCAAAATGTTTGGGGCTGTGACTATTTCTCAACTGTGTAATTCTCAACCATTGTGTAAAATAACCATTATGTGGTCATTATGGTAGTGCAAAATGGTCGTTAGCAGTGCATAACCATGCATATTGACTATTGGTAGCTTGTTTGTGCAGTGAATGACTAATTTGTTAGGAACGTGTTTTGACGTCAGGTTGTAAACACAAGCGTATAAAAGACAACGACGTAAGCGAATTTCACCTCGAGAATCATGGAACACATTCACAGTTCTCGGGGCAATCGCATTCATGAATGATGTTATTCTTTATATCGGGAAATTTCGGTAAACTTGTCAAAAACTTGAAAGAGTATAAAACGAAACTATACTTCACTATCAAAGTTTCTGTCATCAAAATCGACAATGACTTTAGTCACATTTTCGGCAAGTTGTCCGTTCGTCAAACTGTCCGTTGGGCAAAATGTCCATTCGGCAAAATGTCCGTTCGGCGAAACGTCCGTTCGGCAAAACGTCCGTCGGCAAAATGTCCGTTCGGCAAAATGTCTTTCGGCAAAATGTCTTTCAGCAAAGTGTCTTTCGGCAAAATTTCCGACCACCGCTTTCTTCTTTTCTTGTGGTAAAAAAATATACTTATGTTATGCAAATGTTTTTGAGAAGATAATTGTTTCGAGAAATGCAAGCATGCGTTAAGAATTGTCTAACATATACCTTGTCGCTAAACGCAGTAGTCGAATCTCAGTACAGTAATTCCCTTCAAATATGTCTTTAAAGGACAATATTGCTTTCCTGTTTCTCTTTTCTGTTTTGGGCAAAGTAACTTTGTCTGAATGTGAAGTGGTATTGGTGAATCGAAGTCGTATCGATAGCTTTCGTGTTGGGAAAAGTGGCTGTACAAACGACACAAGTGTTTGCCCAAGTTCCGCGACATGTCAGTCTGACGGTTCGTGTCAGTGCAAAAGTAGTACACCAACCTACCGAAATCCTGTCATCAAGACTGACGGTGAAATAGCTCTGGTATACGGTGATTCGTATGGCTGTGTCAACAATCTATTTATCAATATTCGTTTCAGAAATGGTAAGTGTTTTCACTCATGCATCACAATTAGTGTAACAGTTGAAATTTATATTTGCTTCTACTATATGGGAATACAGTATTGAACCCGGCCGACTCCCAAGGAAAGCGAAAAATTGTTCAAGTTAACAAGGTTCTGAGTTAACAGGTGTCGGTTTGCATTTCGTTTATGCATTTATACGTTTGCCTGTATTTCAATTAAGGTTAATGTCCCCGAGCGATTAGCGAAGCGGAATAGTTGAATTAATGAATTTTAAATTAAAAAAAATTAATGAATTTTTAGCGATTCCCAGCAGCCTTTGGCGCTCGTATTCGACATTTCCGCTTTGCCAACCTTACAAGGAAGCCCCACATATCGATTTTGTCCACGAGAAACGTGGTATGTTCGTTCCCTGGAGACCAATCCTCTCCCCCCCCCCTAGAAACGTCACACATAGTTATTGATATTTTGTTCTTATATTACACATAAGGTAATTTTCTACTATTTTCTACGATCGGCTATTGGCGATGCTTCGAGGAATATGTCATCTGCTGGTATAATATTCTCTTTGAACATCAAATATACAAGCTAGTTTTGTTCTCGAGTCTCCATGTTCTCCCGCTCATCCTCGTCCACCTGTCACGTGTCCCCCACGTGATAACATAGGATATTACAGCTGGCATGTTGTTTTTATTAATATATGAACTTCAAAACTTCCAAAATTTCCAAAACAAATTTTTTGCCTGAGATATTGACAATTATAGCGCGTTTTTCTTGGAATTTTAAATTCTTACATCTTTTGTCTTTCAGCGCCCGCCTTCTGTCCGTTTAGCCCTTTCCAAGTTATACCATACAGTAACCATGACCCAGCCACAAAATTCACTCACGGCGATCCAAACGTAGAATTGAAGAGTTGTTCTTTAAGAAAAGCTTGGGCAGAGTTTCCAGACAACGCTACAGAAATGGAACTGCCTGAATGGTTGGATGAAACTTACGTTGATTTGAAAGTTACAAGCAACATCTTGCGTTTTAAAGTATGTAAATTTAAGAAATGCGGCGTCCAAATGAAGCTAGGCGTCGCTTCATATTCGCTGCTAGTCTGTTAGTTTGTCAGCCTATAGACCTTTTATACTCTGCTGGTAATTATCGCAATGGTCATTTGCCTCGTAAAGGCCTAGTAGATTTCACAAGTTCTCAAATTAGTCCCATAACTTTGTGATCCAAAATTGACCAGAAACCAACAACTAAAGCAATTTATACTGTCCAGTAGTTATTAAATTAACTATAAAAACATTTTATGACTAAACTAAGTTCTATTTTGTAGTAATATTTTGACTCATTTTGACCTAATTCGCAACATAATAATAGTGTTGCTTCAAACTTTATGATAAAAACCCCGATTTTCTAGGCGTGTATACAAATAAAAATAGTAAGTTTATACTTTAAATGAGTTTATTTTACCTGTATCGGTCTAAATTCGCTGTTAAGTTGCAAATAATTCTGTTTGAGAACGCAATAATTGGGCATTTCGCAACCAGGGCAGTTTCAGGGCAGTTTTGGCCTTGTTGTTGGGAAATCCACTAGGCCTTTTTTTCGCTTGCGCATCCTTCGCCCTGTCCCCAAATCAACTAGTTTCAGTCTTTTCATGTGAAAAAGCGCTAAATATTAAAAAAATAATAATAAAAATAGAAGGCCTAGGTCTAGGCTGTTAGTTTGTGAATTTGTTTGGAATCATGAGCCTTGCTATTTATTAAAAAAATAGTATATGTCTTCTCCCTTGTGGTGCCTTGTTTCGCGCTTCTCGTGTGCCGAACGCATTACAAACAATAGATAATGAGGCATTTCATCTGATTATATATTGTTTTTAATGCGTTCGGCACATAAGAAGCCCGACGTTTGAAACAGGCCACAAACTCTTTTCAATTTTCATCATGAGTCCGTTGGGAGAGTCGAACCGATGAACTCAGAGGTAAAAGGCGGAGGTATATGCCAAGTGCGCTCGAGTTATTAATTACTTTTACATTTTTGTTTAGTGGAAAAGATCAGTTCCCCACTTGCAAGGAACGATAATTACGTTCAATCTCAGATGCAACCGAGGTTCAGGTGGATTCGAATCAAATTGTCTGCGAGCAAAGGTTCTTGCGCAGTGGAAATCAGGTATGCACGGTCCATGATGTGCGGGTATGATAACGGATTTTTATCTTACTTACATGCCAGGCTAACCTCCAAGTCTTTCAACTCTCCTTAATCTTTTCCTATTACGTGTTCATGCCATCTCACCTCACACCTTCTTCTGATCTCTTCATTCCATACCGTCTTTGACCGGCTCTCCTTCACCTCTTCCTATTACGTGTCCATATACAATCTCAACCTTCTTCCCTCACCTTCTCTGATAAGACTGCAATATATGTCCACCACTCCTTCTGATCTCTTCATTCCATAATGTCTCTGACCAGCTCTCCTTCATCTCTTCTTATTACGTGTCCATACCATCTCAACCTTGCTTCCCTCACATTCTCTGCAATGTCTACCACACCACACCTTCTGATCTCTTCATTCCATAATGTCTCTGACCAGCTATCCTTTATCTCTTCTTATTACGGGTCCATACCATCTCAACCTTGCTTCCCTCACATTCTCTGCAATGTCTACCACACCACACCTTCTGATCTCTTCATTCCATAATGTCTCTGACCAGCTCTCCTTCATCTCTTCTTATTACGTGTCCATACCATCTCAACCTTGCTTCCCTCACCTTCTCTGCAATGTCTACCACACCTTCTGATCTCTTCATTCCATATCTCTGACCAGTTATCCTTCATCTCTTCTTTTTCGTGTCCATACCATCTCAACGTTGCGTCCCTCACCTCTGCAATGTCTACTACAACACACCTTCTGATATCTCTTTATTCCATAATGTCCATGACCAGCTCTTTTTCCTCTCTTCTTAATTATTACGTGTCCATACCATCTCAACCTTGCTTCCCTCACCTTCTCTGCAATGCCCTCTCCTGTATTATTTTTTGTAAACATCCCTTCAAATTTTAAGATGTCATTCTTCTTTCAACCATAAATATTAATAAAATTTAGAAAAATTAACCGAAGAAAAAAAGATATTGCCGTTTGATTGTAAAATTAGACAATAAAAGCGGAAAAGATGAAACACTGTTCCTATTTGTTTATATATCGATAACATAAGACTTCTGTACTTTCCTGGAAATTATTATATTGCCCTGTTTTATTAAATGTATTCAATATAAATTTGGTTGAAAACGAAGGTTACCTAAAGTACTTAAAATTTAAAAAAACTGTAGGGAGCCACCTTAAATGGTTCATTTCCAAACAAGGTACCTTTTTCGCGAGTTTTGTTGACGAAGTGGTAATCGCGAAAAAGGTGGGAAATTTTCGATTTCCACTTTTCATGAAAAACTAGACAACGTCAAAAAAGGTGGGGATATTGAGAAAGCGACAATGTGATGGAAACGTTCAAAATACTTGGGTATTCTTTTTTAAAAAGGTATGTTTTCTGACGTTGTGGCAAAACATTTCATAACATGAAAAAAGGTGAGATATTTGCGCTAATCAACCGAAGTAAAGAAGTGAAATCCTGAAAGTTCTACAACATTCTGTTTTCAATTTTCGGAATTTAGTAAAAAGCAGAATTGCCGAAAACCACCACTGATTCATAAGGCGCGATTCGATGATAAATTTCCTGCTCAGGTGGCACAAACTTAGCTTTTTGATTGGACATTTTGAATTTAAAGTATAATATTGTTATATAGACAGTAGACACTGGTAATTCAAGTAGACACTGGTAAGCTAACGATAAAGAGAGGTTTATCATTGTAATATGTATATATATATGAGAGTAAATAAAGTTCCATTATTATTACTATTACGATGATGATGATGATAATGATGATATCTAATTTTAACATCCACTTTTAGTGAAACCTTTAACATGTTTGGTTGCAAACTGGTGGGATAGTTTCGACCGAGAAGGCTGGTCAAATTGTAGCGACAAGAATCTTTTTATCACTGGTGTTTTTCGAAATCACGAACTGATTGGCCAGTTCATCTATCTAATTGAATACGCAAGATGCTGTAGTTCGATACCAGCGTTTAAGGGGCAGAGCAGTGATTGTAAGATAGCCAACTGGCGGGCGTCTCTGGACAGGTATAATATTATGGGTAAATATTAAAATAGCATTTAATGCACTGATGCGCTACCAGGCAGTAGATGCGAGGCAACTTCAGAAATGTTGATACTTACTGGAGCAAGAAAATTATAGTGCTTATAACAAGAAATTTCACCCAACCTTTTCTTGATTGCATTGCAAAGACTTAAAATGACTATATAACCTCTTTGGTAGAATACTTGCAGCTCTCTTCCTTCCCAAAGTATTCAACACTGTTTGATATGCAAATATCATGAGTGCGACATCACACTGCGTTAATTTTGAAATTGGTTAAAATATTCTACACACAGATACGGAGGCCTAATGATTACATGGTTTATGTACTGTTTAATAAAAGAGCAGGAGTGTTCAGTTATTAGGTTTAAAGACACGAGCGCGGAGCGCGAGTGGCTTTAGACCTAATAAACACGACCTGCGAGTTTATTAAACGGCTTCAAACACGACTATACAAATTCAATAGATATACCGCCTTATTAGTATTCTTTATATAAAAAATACTAATGAGGACACGACAACAATAGAGACTGCCTTATTAGTATTCTTTATATAAAGAATACTAATTAGGAGTGTTTTATGGGGGTCTATTATAGGGGTTACGCATCTCCGAAAACCGAGCTGTTTTTCAAATTTTAACCGCAAACCGCGCATTCACTTCTCTTTTAAACGTAACCGCGTTTAAACCGAGGCATATGTGGTAACATATTTCGAAACATACTCCGCAAATGTGAGGCAATAGACCAATAGTCAGTATGTATAGTCGCCATTTCTATTGGAGTATTGAAAAGGGAGCCGTTCACAAGTTTCACGCGAACTTGGTAGTATAAAATTTGGCAATTGGCAAAGCAAAGGAAGCCTTAGCAGTCTAAATAGCTAGGTTTTCCTTTCATCGCTGCTTACGTTTTGTGTGAGAAACAATCAAGTTGCTTTGATTTCATTTTTTCGGGAAAATATTTGTTACTTTGAGACTGATTTCAGTTTGTAATTAGTAGCAATCGGCAAGTCAGAAAATTAAAAAGCAGGTTTTACTTTTACAGAATAATTTTTCCTGCAATAATTTCACAACCTCCGGTAATTTTTCCCCTCGAATTTTTAACAAATTAAGCGGAATTTTTGGTGTTCCGGTGTTCCGTGTTCCGGTGTTCCTGATTTTACTAATAGCCCGGCCACTTTGCCTATTTGATATCGTCATTTCGAGACCCTGTGGAACAACACACAAGCGTGATCGGAAGATGACTGCCATGAACTGAATTATTGCCATGAGCTCGTAAAATATTTCTTAACCGCATGTTAAAAACTATCCGAAAACCGCTATTTATTTCAGTCAATAACCGAATCCGGAGGGCTAATTTCAACATTTTCCGTCTCCGCACGATTTCCAGTTAACCGCAAACCGTACAAAACAACTGGATATAACCGAAATCCGACCTCAAAATATGGCTAAATCCGCATAACCGCGAAACTATAATAGACCCCCTTTTATCAGGTTTAAAGCCACTGCACGTGACATATTATAGTTGTCATGATTTGCCAATAAGCTTATGAATTATTAATGAGTGTTTGAAGCACTATTTAAAACACGAGTAGGAGTGTTTTATCAGATATAAAACGCGACAACAAGTGTTTTGAATAGCTTAAAATACGACTACAAAAGAATACTAATTAGGATGAACAATTATATAATCATACTAATTAGGATGAACAATTATATAAATGGATATACACTCAGAGTAACATCACAAACATCATATTCACCTGAGTACACAACACCAACACAGAAAAAATCATACTACCAGACTACATTGGTATCGAAGGAACTAGATTCTGTTCCGAAATATTACTTACTCGAACCAACCTGACCGCGTAGCTCAGTTGGCAGAGCATTGGGCTAGTATTTAAGGGCGGCTTAGCCCTCCTGTGAACATTGGTACGGATGCTGTAACGCCGCCAGTTTAAATTCACTTAAGGAATATTTCATTGACCGTGATGTTGGTAATTTAGTTCATTTTGCCTTTTAGGCAGCGATCAACATCATACTACTGCCTTACTCTGATCTTTTTTGGGGCCGGGGCTTAACTTACCTCTAGGGGAGGCTATCATAGCTCCCCTCTCCCACCGCTCCGCCGCCTAAAAGACAAAGTATTGACATTATTAGCTATGTTTAAAGCGGAAAATCCGGGAATTTATAACAAAAAGATAAAAGAACATATAAATGTAATGTCTGATTGTGAGTTGGCTGAAGAACCTTAACAAGTTAAAATTAATATTGATGTAAATTGGGTGAGAAATTTGCTTTTCTCGACGATGTCAAAAAAAAACAAATGCATGTTGCAATTTATGAATAAATGCTTCATTACTTTTGCCAGGAAGTAATGTTTTCACCTGCGAGTATTTTGTTTTCACCAAAATATCGCCAGCGCAGTCTTTGACTGCCTCTTGTATTCTAATGTGACCTGCTTCTATTTCAATATAGGAATAACCAGTGGAGCTTTTGCCCTTCGGGTTACTTTCTAAACGGGTTATATCGTACCAGTGGCCACAGCTTACATTACATCGAAAAAGGCCGCTGCTGTAGACCCAGTAATCATCCTGACAGATATGGATCGTGTTATAATGAAGACATTGCAGTATCATTTAATACAGAAGGATGGTCAAGCTGTTCAAAGGCTGGGTACTATATCACTGGAGTTTATCGTGGATCTGGCGAAGACACGCTTGACAATATTGACAAATTTAAATGCTGTCAAATGGCTATAGGTAAAGGAGAATAAAATAATCTCACCCAACGCTATAATCGCCCTATGTTTTAAATGGTTTGAGTCCTTTCGTAATTATAAAGTAAAGCGGTTTATATGAGTTAAGTGGTGATTTAAAATCATCTCAGCGCCACAAAATTGGCCCCCAAGTATAGAAAATGTCATTCTAGAGAACCAAGATTTAATAATTTCTCGCGTGAGCCTGAAACCTGGTTCGTGTGCACACGCAAAAATCTCACATCTTGTAGCAAGTCTGCCAACAAGCCTTCAACAAGTTGTGTTCGCACCGCTTGTCCCAAGTTGTCAACAAGTTTGGAAAAATTTGTTCAAAATTGATTCAGCCCTTGGACTGGATCGAAATGAATTAAGTAGCGATTTATTCGTATGAGTTGTCATTTCAAATCCTCCAATTTGGACTGGACTAGATTTCAAGTCCTCGGCTTCACGTCGAACTTGATCAAATTGCGCGGACTTGATTTGAAATGACTCGGATTTGAAATATTACATAACAACGTGTGCGTTTTTGCGTGTGTAGATTATTGCGTGCGAACTATGTAAGGCATGGAAACCTTGGTTGTCTCCAAAAGGTTCAGTGACCAAGTTTTACTACGAATGATCTAAGCCAATACAAAAATGTTTCGGCCTTCCTGCACACCCCCACCCCCCTGATCGCACTCTATACAAACAAAGAACGTCACTCGTTGGTAACTATTCGTAGATCGTGGTTCCGAAATGGCAATGAAAAAGCCGATTGAACTCGGATTATTAAAAATAATATATTTATTTTATCTAGACGCTGTCTCTGAACCATCTGAGCCGACAGTAACCATCAGCCAACCTAAATCCCCACAGACAACAACAAATGAATATTCGCCTGTTACAGTGATAACAGTAACACCAAGTATATTTTATAATTTGCATCTTTATTTTTATTTCATTGCATCAACGTCTTCATTTCTACGCGTGCACGTTTCCCCCGTCGACCACATATCTTTCCCCCGTCGACCATAATATTATAAGCAAGTACAATAATTATGATTTACATTACAATACATTACTAACAAACAACTTTTTTCAGATATAATACAAGCTCCTTTACGAGTCATGGTTTCCTTTTTTTCATGAATTATTCACACAACTTTTACTTTTCCCTTTCCTAAAGTCATCAAAAGACAATTTTATTTCTGCAATAGAATTGCCTTGAAAAGTTGAACTATTTTATTTAATGTTTTAGAAACGAAAATCCCTGCCAGCTCAGATGAAGAAAGTTCCGGCTCAAACATCTCAAACAAAATTTTTATTGCTTTGTTTTGCACCGTTCTTGTTGTCATTGTTTTTCTTGGCATTGTTGTGGGATGTCTGTGGAAGAAACTGCGGAGGTCAGTTAAAGTCGTTTCTGACCTTTTCTTTTATTCCTTTCCTTCATATTTAGATCCTCACTTACAAAATGTGTCTGGTCTGCTCTCCTTCGTCTCTTCTTATTACGTGTGCATATCATCTTAAATCTTGTTTCCCTCACCTTCTCTGCACTGTCTACCACACACATCTTCTTCTGATCTCTTCATTCAATAATATCTCTGACCAGCTCACCTTTATCTCTTATTATTTACATGTCCATACCATCTCAACCTTGCTGCCTGCACCTTCCCTGCAATGTCTACTACCTCACATCTTCTGATCTCTTCATTCCATAATATCTCTGACCAACTCTCCGTCATCTCTTCTTATTACGTGTTCATACCACCTCAACCTTGCTTCCCTCATCTTCTCTGCAATGTCTACCACTCCACATCTTCTTCTGATCTCTTCATTCCATAATGTCTCTGACCAGCTCTCCTTCATCTCTTCTTATTACGTGTCCACACCATCACAACCTCGCTACCCTCACCTTCTCTGCGATGTCTACCACCTCACGTCTTCTTCTGATCTCTTCATTCCATAATATGTGATGAACTCTTCTTCATTTCTTGAAACATGTTCTACACCATCTCGGCTTCGATTCCCTCACCCTCTCTGCAATGTTTACCGCAACACATCTTCGATCGGTAGGAGGGGCAAGGTGGGGACGGGGGCGGGCAAAAGAGCTATATTATTACGCAACATTATTTATTTCTGCTCACGATTTCAGATACAAATTGTGGTCATCCAGTTTTTTGTAAGATTTTTTCATCGACATATCTAAACTTCATCCAATTCTGTAATATAATTTAATTGCCAGTATTTTTATCCTTTCTTAGAAATCAAGACAACAACGTGAATATGAGAGGTAACGAGACTATATGTTCAAGAACAGATAAACAAACAAAAGCGAAATTTGAGATGAAACTTCAGATAAATTAGTGCAATTCTAAAATCGTAACTGAAAGCAGTTTGTGTCGTAAACCACTCCAGCTCGTATTTTAAATATATCCAATGCGTCGGGTTAATTTCATGTACAATGTTCTTGAAAAGTTTTAGAAATGCAAACGACTGATGAACAGAGTGGAGCAGCTTCCAGAAATGACGTCTCGCCACATGAGATAGTGATAGACACTGGTGTAAATAATAATGGAGCTTCGTTTACAACATCAGGGAACAACAACTATGAAAATTCATCAGGTGCGTATGTAAAAACGCACAAGTTGTTACAGGTCTGCAAACCAGTTGTTACAAGTCTGTTCACAAGCTGACGACAAGTTGTGTTCGCACTGCTTGTTCCCATGCAAAAACTTGGAACAAGTTTGGAACAAGCCGGTAACAACTTGTAACAAGCTTGATAGCTTTATCAGACACAAGTTTGGAACAAGCTGGTAACAACTTGTAATAAGCTGATAGCATTATCAGACTTGTTACGAGGTTGTTCTAACAAGTTTGATACAATCATGATATAACAAGAATGTTACATGGTTGATGATACAAGGTTGTAACAATATTGTTATATCATGACTGTATCAGACATGTTGGAACAACCTTGCAACAAGTCTGATAATATCAACAAGCTTGTTACAACTGTTAACAAGTTGTTCCAAACTTGTTGACAACTTGGGACAAGCAGTGCGAACACAACTTGTTGACGGCTTGTTAGCAGACTTGCTACAGGATGTGAGACTTTTGCGTGTGCACATATACCAAAAATGATTTTAATCTTGATGGTCCTAAGAGATCAAAACTTTAACCAGTGATTATTTGTCATTGACCTCATAAAGACCTGGAACGGTACCTTCGCAGAAAATATCCTCTATATATACAACGAGAAGTCACTCAGAGACTGTATACGTCCGTCAGCGAATTAAGTTATGTATCATGCATAAATTATACAATGGGCTAATTATGTATTCAGTTTACTCTACCTGGCCAAGCAAGACAAACTTTTGCTAATTTCGCATATAATTTTCATCTAAATTTAACCCAAATTTAATCAATTTGTCTAATATACATAATTCGTGCTGATATACATACACACATACACAAACACGAGGTAATAATGAAAAGGACCTTTCAAGGTGATTCATCAGTTTTGCATTGCGCACTTTTAATTTTTTTTAAAAAAATAAATAAAAAGTGCGCAATGCAAAACTGATGAATCACCTTGAAAGGTCCTTTTCATTATTACCTCATGTGTGTGTTTGTGTATTGCGCACTTTTTCTGCGATATTGATCTAATAACAAATTCTAGCTAACATATGTAGTCGAACTGCAATGTAAGGTCATAAAGTGATAAAGAAAGAGTAATGGCAAAAAGAAAAACACTGTGCATTGATTAGGCGTGCTTCAAGAAATATACGTTCAAAAATGACAGAACTCTGGCTAGGGCTTTTCTGTGTAACTATCACTAAACCACGTCGTGTTCCATGTTTAACACTTGTATCTCCTTAATTTAAGTAGGTCTGTGACCCTACCTCTTTATTTCGAATTTTTGTTCTACGTCCATCTTTGCACCACGACAATACACGTCAATGGTATTTATTTCGCTAGAATACCATGTTTTCTTCTATATGATCACTAGATAGACATTTTTAGTAGGATCCTTGTTAAAAAAATTCAATAACGGTTGAGCAATTGCTACTGTTCGTGCAACTCGTAAAAGGGTCAAGATGGCGCCATATGCTGGGGGCCAGAAAAGGTGGCATATTGCAGTTGTCATATCTTCCAAACGAGTTCGCTGACCTGTTTTTACTATGAGCATATCATAAACTTCACCCCTGGGAAGTTTCAGCAAATTCTCATTTCCAGAACAATTACTGATGAATCACCTTAAAATTAGTTACCATTGTCTTTCTTTTTATAGCTATTTATGAAGAAGCGAACTACCAGCCTCTCCAAAGAAACCTTTAGAATATCTCAACGATGAAAATAACTATCAGAGTCCGGCAACCTCAAAAGGAACAAACTGAACTTGAAGGTTGAAAATCTTCCGATCTAAAATTATGTTATTTTTTATCAAGTTATTGAATAACATTGGCAAGGAAATCACGTTATTCACGATAAACGTTTCTTAGAAAGACCTTTAAAGATGCCAGTATGTAAGCATTTTTTATTTTCATGACTTTTGGGCAAAATATGTATGAGATTGGACAATTTGAAGATTTTGCCAGACAACACATTTAATGACTTAAATGAAAACCATGTCAAATATTACTGATAATTTAGAAATGTATTACGTAATAAGACGTAGAAATTGTGATATTTAAGCATCATATATCATTAGTAATTGTATTTTAAATTGTCTTTTTCCATTTTTTATGTTTCTCAACTGACAGATGCATTTAATGCATTTAAGAAGATAGCTAACTTTATAAACTATAATAAATAAAGCTAAAACAAAGTAATTTGGGAAGCAATGCCAAAAAGAGTTGGACAGGGAAGTAACCACACATGTAAAAATCTCTCAGCTTGTGTTCGCACTGCCTGTTTTCAGTAGTTGAAAAGTCTGGAACAAGTTGTTAACACATTGTAGCAAGATTGATGAAGCCAACAGACTCGTGAGAACTTACACGCGTAAAAATCTCACATCTTGTAGCAAGTCTGCCAACAAGCTGTCAACAAGTTGTGTTCGCACAACAAGTTTGGAACAAGCTGTTAACGACTTGTAACAACCTTGTTGATATTATCAGACCTGTTCCAATAAGATTGTTCCAACAAGTCCGATACAATCATGATACAGCAATATTGTTACAACCTTGTGTGGTCAACCATGTAACATTCTTGTTATATCATGGCTGTATCAGACTTGTTAGAACAACCTTGTAACCAGTCTGATAATGCCATCAAGCTTGTTACAAGTTGTTAACAGCTTGTTCCAAACTTTTTACAACAACTGGGAACAAGCAGTGCGAACACAACTTGTCGACAGCTTGTGAACAGATGTATAACAACTTGTTTGCGGACTTGTAACAACTTGTGCGTTTTAACGTGTATACATTACCAAAATATCGATGCTTGGACAAAATTCTGTTCGAATAACATCACTCATGTGGACGTAAAAACGCGCAAGTTGTTATATAGATCTGCAATCAAGTTGAAACAAGATTGTTGTCAAACCGATAACAGGATGTGTTCGCACTGCTTGTTCCCAGTGTTATGACAAGTCTAGGACAAGTTGTTATCACCTTGTTACAAGGTTGAGAACGGTAACAGACTTGCTACAAGTTTATCCAGCAAGAGTATGATTTAGGCTGTTCGTAACAAGTTTCTTCGAGCTTGTTGTCGTCAACTTGTTACGTGCAGACGATGTCGGACTTGCTGGAACAACTTATTACGTGTCTGTTGACCTTATCAACCTTGTTACAAGATGAGAACAACTTGTTCCTGACTTGTCAACCAATGGGAACAAGCAGTGCGAATCCTCAACCAAGCTGCAATCTTGGAAAAATGTTTACGTCCAAACACGGCAATTTCTAATCTCCCCTCCCCACCTCCCCCCACCATACTCAATAGTGAAAGCTTGTACAATACATTTGTTTGTTGAAAGCTTTTTGAAATGCATGCCCAATCGACATTGGGGGAGACAAAGACGCCAACACGTGTATAAGTGAACACACTGAACAGTAATACTTTAGTGTACACAAGTGACAACGGAATTTTTGTCATGATTGTATCTTCTCGTAAATGACTTAATGATTTTTATACACATTAGTTGCAAGGCAATACGGATTTAATTGATGTGAGTTTGCAGTTAACGGATTTCGGAGAGTTACGTGGAAGCGAGACGAGAGTTAAGTCAGTTTTCACGACACTAAGGCTATGTTTACATTGTATCGGATCACTTTGCGTCCGACGCAAAAACCATACCGGATAGGGCTTCTGTTTACATATGAAATGTTGTTATCGTCTCAATTTCTGCAACGGACCGGTGGTGCGGCGGTTCGCTCTTCGAAGTGGTGCGCGATGTATCGGATCGCTTTTTGCAACGCTCTCATTGTAATGTAAACACAAATCGGAGCAATTTTCGGTTCAATGCGTGACTCAAGATCGCATCTGGCAAACAACAACTTACTATTCTAATAATATATAGAAGAAATACGACGGCATAGATGGGCGGGGCGGAAGCTGTTTACACTTGGGCCGTATCTTTTCGCGAACGAAACAAAAACTGATCCGATACAATGTAAACAGAGCCTAATAAATGGCAAGGCTATTGTGCCCCTTGCTGTCTAGCCTCTACTGTATAATTGAAAAATGTAAAAAAAACCTCATAATTCGCACTAGCTGGCAGCCACAATGTTTGACAAAAACTACGGGGTACGAGTGCTGTAATTTCACATAATTTGAAAAGCGTAGCGCTCCCTGTTCCACCAGTTCTATATAAACAAACATACTTGCAGGGAGGTGAGTCCGGGATTGGACGCAACGAGGGTGGCTGGAGAAACTTCCAGCCACCCGAGTCAAAAGAGAAAATGAACACATTCTGCGAAAACAATGCCAAGATTTATATAAACCTGCCCGTGCGGGCCGTGCCGAACAAATTGCGGTGGCCATCTTTCTTCTTTTCCACTTTGAATACAGAATATTCCATTTTCATCACAAAAAATAAATAAAACAATTAAAAACAGTTAATTTATTTTTTTATATAAATCTTCGTCGGAAATTTGTTCAAATCGCTTCATAATGGCCGCCGCCAAAACATCGACTCGAACCCACCTCCTAAACTTACGTCAGCAGGTGGGTTCGAGATTGAACGCACCTCCTCGTAGCCAATAATAGGAAAGCCGCTAATACGCTAGGTATGAGATAAGTAGCAAGGTTGTTCCAACAAGTCTGATACAGTCATGATATAACAATATTGTACAAGTTGATTAAACAGCTTGTAACAAGCTTGTTGATATTATCAGACTTGTAGCAAGGTTGTTCAAACAAGTCCGATACAGTCATGATATAACAATATTGTGCAAGTTGTTTAAACAGCTTGTAACAAGCTTGTTGATATTATCAGACTTGTAGCAAGGTTGTTCCAACAAGTTCGATACAGTCATGATATAACAATATTGTACAAGTTGATTAAACAGCTTTTAACAAGCTTGTTGATATTATCAGACTTGTAGCAAGGTTGTTCCAACAAGTCCGATACAGTCATGATATAACAAAATTGTACAAGTTGTTAACAGCTTGTAACAAGCTTGTTGATATTATCAGACTTGTAGCAAGGTTGTTCCAACAAGTTCGAACAGTCATGATATAACAATATTGTACAAGTTGTTTAAACAGCTTGTAACAAACTTGTTGATATTATCAGACTTGTAGCAAGGTTGTTCTAACAAGTCTGATACAGTTATGATATAAAAATATTGTACAAGTTGTTTAAACAGCTTGTAACAAGCCTGTTGATATTATCAGACTTGTAGCAAGGTTGTTCCAACAAGTCCGATACAGTCATGATATAACAATATTGTACAAGTTGTTTAAACAGCTTGTAACAAACTTGTTGATATTATCAGACTTGTAGCAAGGTTGTTCGAAAAAGTCCGATACAGTCATGATATAACAATATTGTACAAGTTGATTAAACAGCTTTTAACAAGCTTGTTGATATTATCAGACTTGTAGCAAGGTTGTTCCAACAAGTCCGATACAGTCATGATATAACAAAATTGTACAAGTTGTTAACAGCTTGTAACAAGCTTGTTGATATTATCAGACTTGTAGCAAGGTTGTTCCAACAAGTCTGATACAGTCATGATATAACAATATTGTACAAGTTGTTAACAGCTTGTAACAAGCCTGTTGATATTATCAGACTTGTAGCAAGGTTGTTCCAACAAGTCGGATACAGTCATGATATAACATTATAAAATAACATGTATATAACGCGTATTCTGATTGGTCGAAAGCCGTGTTTGGATCAGGCCATCCAAACACGGAAGACTACCGTGTTGTTGTTATTTTATAAAACAATTACTTTATGGTTTCCGTGTTTGGATGGACTGATCCAACCACTTGGGAATGTTGCTCGAGTTAAGAAAAGCGGGCAAAATCACTCGCCTTCGGCTCGTGATTTCGCTCGCTTTTCTTAACTCTCGCAACATTCCCGCGTGTTTGGATCAGGCCATCCAAACACGGAAACCATAAAGTAATTGTATAATATTGTACAAGTTGATTAAACAGCTTGTAACAAGCTTGTTGATATTGTCAGACTCGTATAGCAAGGTTGTTCCAACAAGTCCGATACAGTCATGATATAATGATATTGTTGCAACCTTGTAGCATTCTTGTTATATCATGACTTGTTTCAGACTTGTTAGAACATCTTTGTTTCATGTCTGGTAATACCATCAAGCTTGTTACAAGTTGTTAACAACTTGTTCCAAACTTGTTACAACAACTGGTTTAACAAGCAGTGCGAACACGACTTGTCGACAGTTTGTGAACAGATTTGTAACAACTTGTTTGCAGACCTGTAACAACTTGCAGACCTGTACTACATATAATGAAAAAAAGTAACATTATTCTCTCATTGTGATATTGTCCGACTGACAGCTACACATGTAAAAACGTACAAGTTGTTACAGGTCTGCAAACAAGTTGTTACAAATCTGTTGACAAGCTGTCAACAAGTTGTGTTCGCACTGCTTGTTCCCAGTTGTTGTAACAAGTTTGTAACAAGCTGTTAACAACTTGTGACAACTTTGTTGATATTATCAGACTTGTCACAAGGTTGTTCTAACAAGTCTGATACAGTCATGATAAACAAGAATGTTACAAGGTTGATGACACAAGGTTGTAACAATACTGCTGTATCATGATTGTATCGGACTTGTTGGAACAACCTTGTAACAAGCCTGATAATATCAACAAGGTTGTTACAAACTGTTAACCGCTTGTTCCAAACTTGTTGACAACTTTTGACAAGCAGGGCGAAGACAACTTGTTGATGGCTTGTTGACAAGCTTGTTGCAAGATGTGAGTTTTTGCGTGTATATGTCTTTAACGAGCTAACTTTCTTTCCCAAGGGACGAGAACCGTTACTCACTCATTATCAAATCAACAAGGAATTTCCTCGGCTGTATGGATTCGAGGTGATGAAGGGGACATTGGACTACATCTGGTATTCCTCGGGTACACTGAAGGTGAATGCTGTATTACAACATGTCACAGAAGACGTTATCAAACCCCTGGTAGCCTGCCCGAACAAATATTTCCCGAGTGACCATCTGTCTATGAAAGCTTGCTTTGGTTTTAAAAACTCGTAAACCTTGTGTCGTCAACCTTGTAACATTCTTGTTATATCGTGACTGTATCAAACTTGTAACAGTGATAATGCCATCAAGCTTGTTACAAGTTGTTAACAGCTTTTAACAAGCTTGTTGGTATTATCAGAATTATAGCAAGGTTGTTCCAACAAGTCCGATACAGTTAAGACATAACAATATTGTTACAACCTTGTGTCGTCAACCTTGTAACATTCTTGTTATATCATGACTGTATCAGACGTGTCAGAACAATCTTGTAACAAGTCTGATAATGTCATCAAGCTTGTTACAAGTTGTTAACTTGTTGGTATTATCAAAATTGTAGCAAGGTTGTTCCAACAAGTCCGATACAGTCATGACATAACAATATTGCCAGCTTGTGAACAGATTTGTGCACGCGTAAAAATCTCACATCTTGTAGCAAGTCTGTCAACAAGCCGTCAACAAGTTGTGTTCGCACTGCTTGTCCCAAGTTGTCAACAAGTTTGGAACAAGCTGTTAACAACCATGTTGATATTATCAGGCTTGTTACAAGGTTGTTTCAACAAGTCCGATACAGTCATGATATAACAATTTTGTTACAACCTTGTGTCGTCAACCTTGTAACATTCTTGTTTATCATGACTGTATCAGACTTGTTAGAACAACCTTGTAGCAAGTCTGACAATGCCATCAAGCTTGTGTCAAGTTGTTAACAGCTTGTTCCAAACTTGTTACAACAACTGGGAACGAGCAGTGCGAAGACAACTTGTCAACAGCTCGTGGACAAATTTGTAACAACTTGCTTGCAGACTTGTAACAACTTGTGCGTTTTTACGTGTGTAGCAACGACTTGTTTGCAGACCTTGTGTGCTTTCACTTGCGTAGTTGTATTGCTACCGATCTCCAATTTTCTTATCATTGGCACTGTGCGAGATTAGATCAAACACCACACACGCAAAAATCTCACATCTTGTAACAAGTGTCTGTCAACAAGCCGTCAACAAGATGTATTCGCACTGCTTGTCCCGAGTTGTCAACAGGTTTGGTACAACTTGTTGACAACTTGTGACAACCTTGTCGAAATTATCAGACTTGTTGCAAGGTTTTTCTGACAAGTCCGTTACATGCTTGATATAACAAGATTGTTACAACCTTGTGTTGGCAACCTTGTAACATTCTTGTTATATCATGGCTGTAACAAACTTGTTAGCACAGTCTTGTAACAAGGCTGATAATGCCATCAAGCTTGTTACAAGTTGTTAACAGCTTGATTCAAAGTTGTTGCAACAAACTGGGAACAAGCAGTGCGAACACAACTTGTTGACAGCTTGTGAACAGACTTGTAACAACTTGTTTGCAGACTTGTAACAACTTGTGCCGTTTTACGTGTGTAGTTTAATTCATTATTCAGACACTGTAGAAATTCGTTCGAACTCGCATTTTCGGTTTAAAAGCCCGAAAATGTGAGGTGAAATTTTATATTTATTTAATTTATATTTAGTTAAAGAAACTTTGTATTATAGCAAAATAATATAAGAAA